TATGGATAAAATTACGCGAATTACAATCAATCTGCGAAAAATCTTAAATAGCAACAACATAAAAGCAGAGCCGATATTATTTAATGATATTATTAGTGTAATATATTATGCATTAATGTATTCAAATTACTGTAAGTTCAGAATATGTTAGCATCGATAAAAGTTTATGCTGATATTTAATTCATTTTAATTAATATAGGATTTGAGATGTGACACGCATTCGATTTGAATCATACGAATATTTAACGATTCTGTGATACAAAAAAATGAGACATTTAAAACTAGGATTGAAAATGTTAAATTAATCTTACATTTGATAAAATTGTTTATTAATAGCTGAAAAAGCATAGAATCAATAACTTATATGATCAGTAACTTGAAGTTTAATATAACATAAATTAATATTTTATTAATAGTATTAATAGAGAGAAAAAAAGCAGTGTGTGTAATTCTCTATTAATAGCATTAATATAAAAGATGTCATCTCTCTCTGAGAGAAAGAGGGGGGAGAGTTGATCGCAGGGAGAAAGCCTACCCGTCTGAAAAATGACTGGGGCACTCGGTTTCTCCGTTATCGAGGTGTCCGTGACTCCCGGGTCGCTCTTTCAGCGGCGTAATTACGGATTAGATCGATGGGAGATTGCTTCTCTCTAACACGGGTAGGCTGAGAGAAGGGTAACCTCGAAATCTCGCAGCGCGTGCGGGGTCGATACGTAAACGCATTTATACGCGCGTAATGTACACGCACGATGCAAACGCACCGCGGAGACGCGTGCGAAAACCGATACCTCACTCCGGTTGCGCATCTCTCGCAGTTCCCTTAAATCGAACGGATCCGGCACGTGTCCCAAATACCGGGACACGTGCCGGTTGCTCTTGAAAATCGATAATTCTTTGTACGTGGTGCATTGTGTTCGCGTTATATTATTTTAGCACCTACAAGAATTCATGCGATGCGCCGCAAATTGGAACGAGCAGTCGTTGCATCATTGCTTCACAACTTCAATATTTATGCGGGATAGAAACTCTGAGAGATATGCCATTTATGGATTATAATAATTTTAGAAAAAATATGAAATTTTGCGATTAAAATGAAGCTACAACATTGACTTTTAAGAATAGTCAATTTAACAATCTATAATTAAATAGTCACTATAATATAAATATCGTTAAGTTAAAAGAGTCATGTTAAAAAAATTTTAAATTCTTATCGCTACTGTAATTGCATCTCCAAGTATTCGAGTTTCGATTACGGGACTTTGAAAAAGAGATCACACTGTGCGTAAAAACTACCACGGACACGTAATACAAAGCGCACGATAATACAATATATATTCGCTATTATATTCACCCTTCAGTAACACAAAGACTGATCATTAGATCGATTATTCGACTGAACGGCGCCTAAAAAAGCAGTTAGTTAGAAAATTCGCAGGGATTACGGTGCGGATTGCGTACGTGCGTGTGCGATGCTGCCAATGCGATGGAAGCGAAGCTGACAGAGGTGTGTGGCGGACAGCATTATGTGGTAGGGTGGAGTATAGGACAGGGTAGATGGTATATATGGTGTGGCATACAGCGCGATGTATGGTATTGGTATTGGTAGGGTGTGTAGGATAGAGATGATCTGATTACGAGCACATCATGGGAAAGTCAGCTTACGAGGAGAAGAGGGAGGTATAGAGACGCGCGATTCACCCCGGTACCCCATTGTAACGACGACTGTCACCGACGCGTATAATTCGGTGAGATCGGCGCGCATTCACGTGCTCTGTATTAAAGCTACACCGCGGTATATAGAAAACGTGAAACATAGACAGTAGGGTGAGAACGTCGCGTCACACGACACGACACACGTTGATGCCGATTTAAGGCGGTTAAATGCGGACTCGAAATCCCATCTACATATTCCGGATAGCGGTCACGCTTCTTTCTTCGCGTCCGGTCCTCATCGCGAACGTTCAATAGGAGAAAGGGGAATAATTCGCAATACAAGACAGTTTTGATTGACATTACCGTTTGAATCAGTTTCGAGCGAAAAAGTAGTATTAGTATATCGTTCGGGCAAAAATTATAATATATTAAAATTATTATTAAAAAGAAATATAGTTATTCTCTGCAGCTTTTGTCTGAAATGTTTTCCTCTTATTATTCGAAACTATATCTTGTGTTCAGAACCTGTTTTCTATATACTTTTAATAAAAATTGAGATGTTTTCGCAGTAAAAGCAAATAAAATTTTAAATAAATAATAGATTAAGATTTTTTGTTCTTAATTTTTATTGTACCGTTATTTCATACTGATCACAGTATAGAGATTAATTTATAGAAATAATCTCAAAGAAATATTTTTGCATGACATAAAACTAAAAGTTTAAAAAATGTCATACATTTTCTCATATTTTTGCGGTTTATCTGTTTCTATTAATTACTATTAAATCGACAGCTACAAGATCATGTTCTGATTAAACGAGCTTCTACTCCTTTAAATAGGATAGTATTACAAACGTAATGACATCTCTCCGTCTTAATAAGACTTGCAGTCGACCATTTGCTAGTGGTGCATCTACGCTATATCAATCCGTACTCGACATGCATCAGGGCGTCATTCGAACGAGTAAATCCGATTCGGCAGTCTCGAAAAGGAAACGGTCGAAACTACCGCGCACGCGACACACTAAAGAGTCATGAAGAAAAGACGGTCCACAATGGACCGTTTATCAGGAGCCGTGATACCGGCTCGCGCTCTGGCGCGCGCCTTTCTGCCCCCGCGGTCCATCAATAAAACCCGAGTGATTTAGCGAGCTCCTGGACGGATAGACGGACGGACGGGCGAGCGGGCACGCAGAAGGTAGAGACTGTAGCACCCACGAATTTCCAAGATAAAGGGGTCAACAATGGGCCGGGCAAACCGATGGTTGGTATTCGGCCAGTGTCGAAACGACGCCTTCCAATCACTCGCCGATAACAATGCCCGGTGCCAGTGGTTTATAAATCCGCGCATTGTTGCCAACTTAAAAGCTCTCCTGACGAACGATCAGGTCCGAGCGGTAAGAGAGAAGGGACCAAGAGGGCCCAGCGAAATGCGCGCTGGCGAAGGAGAAAAATAGAGAAGGAGAGACAGATAGATTTTATTTAACTTGCAGACAGAGAGAGAGAAAGAGAGGAGGGATGAGGTAAGTGAGAGGGAATCCGCTCGAAATCTTGGACGTTGAAAGCGAAGGCGGTAAGGCGGAAAGGGCGAGGAACGGAGATGCGGGGAACGAGAAAGAAGCGTTTGCGAGAAGCGGGAGCGAGAAAGTGGTGGCGGAGCTTGAGAGCCGTGTAAAAGCATTGAGAGCACTTTAATGAATACGATTAGGGGCGTTAACTGTGAAGGATTGCCAACCCGAAGAAAGCGCCATTCGCGCGAGAAAGCCCTCTCTCTCTCTCTTTGTCTGTGCCGACGTTGACCGGTCACAATTTTATTTTTTTGTGTACCAGAGACATGAGAGAGCTTGAACATCTTTGGGTTAGGCCAAATTCGTAAATGTCTCCTTGGAATAATTTTCCATTTGATTAACGAATGACAAGTAATATATCTCGTTTACAAGCTGTTCTTGTTCTCATGTATGTATTTAATTCTAGAGCGTTATCATCTTCCTCGTAATATTTTATAATCTATCCTTGCATATTTCTAAGTAAAATGGAAAGAAAATGCATCGGTTTTTTAAAATATCTAATATGAATAAGAATAAATATTATACAAAGATCATGTGTCGCTCGTTGTTATTGTTACATTGAATATAAAAGCTCCATGTGCAACAAAGTATCTCTCATTTATTTCAAGATATCTATACTACTAATTTTCAATTGTACGTATATCGTAACAAATTTTGTAATAATACCAGTTAAAGTTTATGAAAATTTTATGTACACCAACATACGAGTATTTTACGTCAGTGTTTAGAGAATTAAAATTATTTCGAAACATTCTGTGTATATAGATGACTACTTACCGTAATGCTCTCTGCAAAGTGAAAATGTTAGAATTACGATATATTTTTCCGACTTTTTTTTCTATATGCATTAACCAGTAAATTATAGATTCCGACGCCTATATTCACAAAGCTGAAAAACGTATCGATACTCGAGGGAGTAAAAGAGGAAAAGAGGAGGGATAGACCGTCGTTGACAGATGCACTTATCTTTCGATTTGAGGACGCCGCCATGTTATCGGCATGCAAACGACAAACCATTTCCTATGCACACTCTCGTTAGTTTTCTTGTCAGTCGAGCCGGCGCGAATAATCTGCCTCATTACGGAACGCAACGGATAGAAGCTTCCTACGCGATGTAACGCGCCGGAATGATGCATGTTAGTTATCTACGTGCTACTAATTGTCGAGATATTTAATTAAAAGACAGACACGAGCGTGTGCGCGCGATGTATATTCTATTATCTAGTTCTCATTAAAGAGAAGGATTATTCGCGAAATTCGTCGCGCGGAATCTTACACATATGTCCTGGATCGAATGCATTTTGTGTGCAATTCCGAGGTACAATTGCCGTACACGCATCTCTCTGGTTAACGCGGACACGTGGCTAGATTGCTAGGTAATACGAACGCGAACGCGAACAGCATGACGGCGAACGGTCGGCTCGCGCGACTCTAGCTGACTCCATAATTCCATGCAATTATAGACCTGTAATTATGACATCCCCTTGTCGTACAGCTCCGTCATGACTGTATCTCTATTATAGCATCTCTAATAAAAAATGGAAAACGATGCGAATATCAAAGCTTATTATTAGAGAAAAGATATTATTAACTGTTTAATTTTTTAAACCGCGATTCTCTCATGATCAAAGCGTCGAGAGAAAAAAACTGTGTTCTTGAATTTTTTTAAATTGGAATTCTATTATGTAAGAAATTATTCGTTTATCCTGTATTCTTATTGTAGTTGTTCGCAAAAAAAGTAACTCAAAATGCTATCCATATTTATCTATTTATGTTTCAGATCCGTAATTTTGATCAACGATTGCAGCAAATTCAACGATGGAGCTGGGAAGTTATATGCGGAGCGTAGAGTTGTCTGGATTCATCGAGAGAATCCGCAAGAAAGAGGGCATCGAATCGCTCTAACGCGTTACTCGTACATCAGCACCATTTCCTCTTCCGCGGCTATCCTGGACCATTCTCTTTGCAATCTTCCCTTTCTCTCCTCCCTCCTATCTCCCCCCACGGCTTTCGCGCTCGCGCAGGCCCCGATTAATTAATTCCTACCTCATTAGCGAACGCGGCCGGCGTTCTCTTCCTCTGCGCACGCCGTAAGTGGCAAACAGATATCGCGAAGCTTACGCGCCGCAAATACGGAGGGGAGGCCACCGGCACATATTGTATATTATTAATAACAACTGTTTGCGGACGGCTTTTCTGTTTTCCTCTCCTCCCCTTCCTCTACCCGCTCGTTGCCAATTTGTCGGTGTAGATATTGGATTCAGCCGCGTTAACAACGCCGCATTATCGGCGCGGCCGGTGATAAAAGACTGCGTCGCGCGACATTCCAGCCGGCCAGCGAAGCTTATTATTAGAGAAAAGATATTATTAACTGTTTAATTTTTTAAATCGATTCTCTCATGATTAAAGCGTCGAGAGAAAAAAACTGTGTTCTTGAATTTTTTTAAATTGGAATTCTATTATGTAAGAAATTATTCGTTTATCCTGTATTCTTATTGTAGTTGTTCGCAAAAAAAGTAATTCAAAATGCTATCCATATTTATCTATTTATGTTTCAGATCCGTAATTTTGATCAACGATTGCAGCAAATTCAACGATGGAGCTGGGAAGTTATATGCGGAGCGTAGAGTTGTCTGGATTCATCGAGAGAATCCGCAAGAAAGAGGGCATCGAATCGCTCTAACGCGTTACTCGTACATCAGCACCATTTCCTCTTCCGCGGCTATCCTGGACCATTCTCTTTGCAATCTTCCCTTTCTCTCCTCCCTCCTATCTCCCCCCACGGCTTTCGCGCTCGCGCAGGCCCCGATTAATTAATTCCTACCTCATTAGCGAACGCGGCCGGCGTTCTCTTCCTCTGCGCACGCCGTAAGTGGCAAACAGATATCGCGAAGCTTACGCGCCGCAAATACGGAGGGGAGGCCACCGGCACATATTGTATATTATTAATAACAACTGTTTGCGGACGGCTTTTCTGTTTTCCTCTCCTCCCCTTCCTCTACCCGCTCGTTGCCAATTTGTCGGTGTAGATATTGGATTCAGCCGCGTTAACAACGCCGCATTATCGGCGCGGCCGGTGATAAAAGACTGCGTCGCGCGACATTCCAGCCGGCCAGCGATCTGAACCCCGATGTTTTTCCAAGGGCGGTCGTTATCCCCTTGTAATCGTACCCGTGTCTCGTTAACGGAACGAGTCTAGATTTTACTATCTCCTCGCGCGCGCTCTCGGACGACCGAACTCTTTTTTTTTCTTTTTTTTTTATCTCGGAACACTATCGCCCTGCTCGTTGTATCGCTGTGCATTTAGGAGAATAGGAGAAGTAGTAAGATTCTAACGCAGTATGTTAGAGCTATATTGATATTAATAGCCAGTTGTAGAGATTGGATCCGTACTGATGTATATTAAGAATTATCTCGCAATAATTTCAGAATTTGATAAAGCTAACCGTTTTAATTTTAGACCGTTTTAATATTTTCACGTAATGCTTGTGTTCTTTGAAAAACTTGTGTATAATACTTGTGTCTTAATAAATTGAAACATTATTTTCGAATTGCAACTTTGACGCTTAACTAATAATACCCGTGATTATCCAAACAAAAATACGACATGCTCCAATTTTCGTCTTATTTTAAGACGTCTTATTTCGGGAGTTCCGTTCTTTCGTCGTTTAAGCGTGATATAATTACTACGATTTTCCACGAAACGCGACCGTTCTTACTTTTACATCCGTTGCCTTTTATACGCGCGAGAGCGCTCGTTACTGAATAAAACGCTCTTGTACGTCCGGTCAACAAAGCCTGAGAAATTACGCGTTTGCAAACGAACGCTCGTACTCGGTCGAAAATAAAGGATAGAAAAAGAGAGAGAAAGAAAGAGAGAAAGCCCCAACGGTCGAAAATGGTGAAAAAATGTCCGAGAAGTTTTAGTTAAATTACTTAGACCGTGGAATTGCCCTGTCGGACGTATACGACAGGGGATAGTCTGAAGTCGAAAGGAGAAGGAGGGAGAGAGAGAGAGAGATCGTGTGTATGTGTGCATTTGTGCGAGAGTATACGAGGAGTTAGGGGGAGGTGAGCTATCCCCAGCTAAGAGGGTTTGCTTGTATCCCCCGAGATGCGCATACGTCATCCGATTAAAATTAGTAATTAGCTAATTAACTTAAGCGCGCAGCACTCCGGACTAAGTAAGTTGACCGCCTGATTATGATGCATCGCTTCTGAGTTCGGTTTCGTGCGAAAAAGGCGCGCGCCGTTAAAAAATACTCCGTGGCAGAACGAGAAAAGATGAGACGGAGGAGGATCTCTTCTATGTCGAATCTCTTAGAAAATCCTTCTTCGGGGAATCAATCTTCGCGATTTATTTCTCCGTATAACTCGACGGTACTCATAATAGCCACAGTATATAGATATAGAGCTATGAGAAAATATAGAATTTCGAAAATTGCGTCGTAGAATTTTAAATGACGCGATATCTAAGATAATTTTAAGTAATATTGATTCGCTGTCCAAAGTAATGGATGAGATATGTTCCAGAAGCTTTTCGAAAATATGTTCATTGAAGATAAAAGTAGAAGTATGATTATTTATCGGACGTGATGTCTTTCGATTCCGTCGTTCCAGAAAGAAGAGGTAACTTTCGGTCAGAGCGGAAACGCTCCGAAAACCGCGAACGATCTGCTCAAAGTTAAGGAATAATAAGAGCAATAGAGATCTTTTGCCACATGTGTCACGGCGGCGCGTCGACGAGGGTGTGAAATTGACGTATTATATGCACGAGATGATATCTATGGGGAGAGTCGATCGTATCTCCGTATTCGAGAGGGTGGTCGCGGAGGAGGGACGCGAGCGCCGAGAGTGATCCAGAAGTGCTTTCTCGTGTTCCTTAACTAACCGTTCGCCGGTCCTCCGGACGTCTCATCGGTCGCACTTGCCTGCACCGACGAGAAAACGATGGAGAAAGAGAGAAGGGCGGCCGCGGCGACAACGACGACGAGGAGGACGACGGCAACACCACTAAGGACTGTATCTTCACCCACACTCTTATCTTCTCGTCGCTCTTATCCTCCCCGCACTGTCCCCACAGTTGCACGGTTATCCCCAGAAAAACTTCGCGAATGGCTTCGAGACGTCGCAGGTATGCTCTCACCTCGGCTATCGCTCGCAATTTGCAATGGCCGCGTGCAAAGTATGCGAGCACTATTTTCGTAGAACTCTCGCCTTATACAGGACGCTAAAAAACTATATGTACAAACTTTGGAATTGTGTTGAGAATTTAAAAACTTAGAGAAGAAAGTTTCATGGCTCTGTCTCAAAATGTTGAATCTTAAAAGTTTTTTTGTAAGTCATTGAGAAGGTCCTCCGCAAATTAATTTTCGTCATCTAACTCTCTTTAATTTATTTTAATTTAATTTTTAATGGATTTTACTTAACAAACACTTTAATTTAACAAGAGTACATTTTATATTTTTAATGTAATAAGATTAAATTAATAAGATAGGACATAAAAAAGGTATAAAAGAAGAAAATCCAACTTTGAACTTATCAAGAAATGTATATATAGTTTATACATATAGTTTCCCAGTTTCTGTCATTTCAAAATGAAACCGATGCGATACAAAAGAATGAAAATGTTGCGAGATATAGTTTCTTTCGAAAAGATAATTATTTTGTGCACGCGCGTAACTCACTTTATTATATCATAATAGAAAAATATTCTGTGAAATAAATAAATAGACTATATATTGATTTAAGTCTCCTCTTTTTCCATTTTCACGATAATGAAGTCATACTACGTTCAAGATAAATTAATCAAATATTAAAAAATGCAGATAAATATCAAGGCATATACCGTACGAGACTTTGTCTTTCAGGGTAAATCTCGAGAAGAGATTACGTGCCGGTATCCTTCGAGACAGATTCGCGACTCGGCTCGCTAAGTGACAGTAACGTAGCCGGAATTGCGACCATTGGGAAGGCTCGGAAGTAATGTGTCATCGTTAAAGGATTGTAAAGGATGTAGGGAGCTGTCTCCCCCTTCGTTTTCTCCCGTTACGCCTCGTATGCTTTTCTTTCCTCGAGGAACTTTTCTGCGAGTGAACGTTATTTCGCACCGTGCTATTAAACGCAATAAATAATCCCAATTTAAATTTATCAAAAGGAAACATACATGTATGATTAATAAGCAAGAATTTTTTATCAGTTTTCGCGCAGAATTTGCAAAAATTTCTCTTCGCGAAACTCTTTCACTCGCGTTCTTAGCTGAAAAACGGCGAGCGTCACTAAACGATGCTTGATAGTCCCCGCTATTGGAAGGATATCGATTGCTCGTAGCCAGGGAAGCATCGCGGTGGCCGGGAGAGACGCCGAGGCTTTCGATTCCAAAGTAACGAGGTCCAGTAATGGAACCCGTATGTGTAATTTACCACGGAACTGGAGGCGCGCGCGCGTTGTGTGCTCGCACGCACGCACGCACGCACGTATATACATACATACATGCCCACACGCGATGAACGCACTCATCCGTTCACCTACACGCGCGCGCGGAGAGCGGCTTGATTAAAATTTCTTTCGAGTCCCTTCCCCCATCCCCCTTATCCTGTACGGCGTTCGTTTGTCTCTCGATCCGGGAATACTCATCAACCTCCGCATGCGGGCTCCTGCAGGACAACGATGCGCGCTTCGACCCGCTTAACGGACAATTAACGTCGAGATTCCAGCGAGGCGTGTAACGAGCACACACAATCTCCGAAAAAGATTCGGTACCCACTCGATGTCAACATTCAGGATCGCGAAAAGGCTGACCTTCCAAATTGAATCCTTATGTACCGCAAGGACGTGGAAAACCGAGTCAATTTTGCGGCTTATTGTCTTCGGTAAATGAATTATTTGATATTTTCGGCACGGAGTCCTGAGATCTGAGATCGTTATAATCTGCTATCGAATTCGAATCTCGATGCTATTTCGATACGACAATTTTACAAAAATCATGACTGTTTTTCTTATGTATTAAAGACACAACGCTCTAATAATTTTAAATAAAGTTCTTTAGTATGATTAAACACGAAGAAAGTGTTTTTTATTTACGATATAATGAAATAAACTCACCGAAGGAACTCCAGGTTCACTCCTTGATCCAGCGAGCTGCGAACTGCGAGAATTAAACTTGCCTGAAGTTTGCACCTTTTTTCTATGAGTTCCGAAATTGTCCTGGAAAATGTCGTAATATATTTATGCATGCAATTGTATTAATTGTATTTACAGCAAGAATACATAAAGCGCAAGAACAGCTCTATGAATTGGTTCCTCTTTTTTCAGTAGAAAA